GGACAGAGAAACAGAGCCTCAACAGGGACTGCTGAGTTCCCAGGTGCATCACTGGGGTGCTCTTGCTCAACCAGTGAGAGGAGATGACGGGAGGAAAGGGTCCCCCTTGGGTAGCTTCCCCCCACTGCTCCAGAGGGGGTATGACTGGAGGGGCAGGGCTTTACACCTCATGGCACGAGCCACAGATCGGGGGAGGTGTCTGCAGAAGGCCAACCCCAATGAAGAGGTCCAGCCTTAAGGGGCAGGGTCCCCGCCATGGAGGGGCCATCTCTGTGGAGCTCAGAGGAGGACAGAACCCAATAAACGGTTTGTCCCATTTATCCCTTGCACTCTCCACTCCCAGCTATCGGAGTTTTCATTCTTTTCCTCTGGAACAGCTGCACCCTCCCTTCCCAACACACTTAGGAAGGACAACCAGCTCATGAGGGGCATTGGCAGAGTTGAGGTTGGGGGGTGGGGAGGAAGCCCAGGCCTAGAACAGCAGGGGGAGTACAGGTCAGGACTGCTGCTCACGGGAAGAGTCAAACTGGGGCGCTTGTACAGCACCTGCTGTCCTAAGCCTGGCGTTGGCGAGAACTCCCAGGCCCTCACTTTCAATGCCACCAGATTTCGCCCCACAATTAAGGAATGAATAGCAGGAGGGGGTGTATTCCGCTAGGTCAGCTTTAAAGGCATTACATTTTCGAGTCTCTTCTTGTTCACGGCCACCCCTCCCTTGCGGGTCTCCTCACTGACTACTATACACTCCAGGTCAGGGTCCGTTATCGATGGGCCATAGGGGTCTACCAGAGGCACAATGTCATAACGCAAAGAGGGCTTCACGTCCACCAGGAACTCACAGAGCTTCTCCACTCGGTGCTCGTATGGTTGGATCAGCTCCTTCAGCATCTTATCTGGAAGGGACAAGGAACAGGGAGGAAGCCACAGTGTGCAGCGCCCCGCACCCAGAGCTAGCAGCAAATAGTGACAGTTACAGGAGGGGCCAACAGAGATGCTACAAAGGCTTTAGCAACCTCTGGAAGGACCTGAGCCCTCACTTCCCGAGTGCCCAAAGGGCACTGCGCTCCCCAGGTTTCCGTGTGTTGGAGAAAGGAGTCCCTCTGGCAAGACGACAATGCTGCAATTCCTTGGGTTTGCTATCAGTGGAGCATCATCTCTGCCCAAAGCAGCAGCGAGCACAGACAAGTGACTCAGCCTTGGGCTGCTTGGCAGGGAATATTTAACTCCAAGGGCAGCACATCTGTCATGAAAACACAGACAGCAAAACACGCTCAAGGGACACCAGCAAGATACCAATCACTAGGACAGCCCTCCCCGCCGGGACATGGAGACAGCTCATCTTTTCCCCGGAGATGCCACTGCACCTTGCCTCAGGCAGTGGGAGTAGTCTGGTGAGTCTCACTTATCAGCTCTGGCCAGTTTCCAGTTCTCAGGCGCAAACCCAAGGCTACTGCCGGGGAAGGGTTAGCGATACAAACCACCGAAAGAAGGTTTACAAAATCTCCTCCTAAAAGCCAACAAGCCTAACTGCTGGGCCTAAATGACTCTCCTGTCTCGTTAATAAATGCTGCTTCTCAATTAGCGCTGTGCCCACATGGTTCAAATGTGCTTTACATCTCCACTGATGTGAAACCTACTCTCCCCCTTCATCCCCTTCTCCGCAATGAACACACTCCACCTTTAAACATCCTAGATGTTTGGACAGCACACCCATTGCAGAGTCCATGAAGGCTGCTCCTAAGCTGGCCCAAGGGAAACACTAGAGAGCGATCAAAACGGCTCCCTTCACTGCCATCAGGAGCAAAAGGAGTGACGGCCCGAGGAGAACGAGCATAACTGGGGTTTTGCTTCCTGGTTTGGGACTAGGATTCTCACTCACTCTCCAGAAGATCCTTGTCAGAGACACCAACCAGAAGCCGGTTCTCAGCCAGCAGGCAGCAGGCACTCAGAAGGATCTTGTGAGCATTATGGAGTCTGTCGAAAGTGCCCCCTACAACGACATCGCTGTAACTCCGCAGAGCCCCGCCATCCAAGCCTGGCTCCCAGGGGGGCAGCTCGCTTTGGTCCATCATGGGCTCGTAGTCTGGGTACAGCAGCACAGAGATAAGATTGGGCCTGCAACTGTAACAGCTGGTGGCATAACGCTCCAGGCGCTGCTTGACGGGGTTGTACTGGCCCCCATCACTGGTCTGAAAGTCGGTCAGGATCACCTCGGGCGGGTGGGAGAGGTTCTGCACCGAGGACAGCGACTGCTGCGTCAGGCTCTGGTTGCGGATGTTTGTCAGCAGGACCCGCACGTCCAGGTGGCTGTGGGCGCCAGCGTCCGCATACAGCTTGTTGATGAGGCTGTAGACCTCAGGTGTGGCCGGCACGTAAGTGGACCCGGGCTGCGAAGAGCCAGTCAAGCTGAGGCCCGGCTGTAGGTGAATGTAGAGCGTATCCTCCACAATCCGGGAGGCCGAGGCCAGGATGGGCACAAAGCGCAGAGACAGGGCAGAGAGCGGGGCCGTGAGCACCAGCAGGCCTGAGCGGAAGACAGACATGGTACCTGGAACAGACACACAGGAGCAAGGGAGGGGGTTACGCCGGTGACAGCAAAGCGTGAGCTCTAGTAACATGGCCTCTGAGCTTTACTCGCCCCCAGCCTCACCACCCAGCCCC